ATTTTTTTCTAATAGGTAAAAAATAAAAGAAAGGGTTCTTATTTTTTCATAAATTAGTCAAATATGTGGAGTGAGGCTTTATTGATCATGAGTCATGATTGAAGGCTTTGATTAATTAGCTTATAAAAGGTTAATTAATTTAATCAATTTCCAAAAAAATTATTTATGGTGTTATGTAAATAAATTTTATATTTTGATGAGATGAAATCAAATAATTTATTGTAATTTTTTTAAAATTGTAATATTATGTTCAAATAAATTAAAATGTATTTATATATAATATTTATATTTTTATAATAACAACTTCAGCTGAAAAAAGATTTTAGAACTGTGATCTAAGTCTGGATGAAAAAGATTGAGCATATTTTTAAAATTGATAAGTGGTTGGAGTTTGAGCCTATTAGTTACTAATTTTTTAATAATTAAGATTAAATTTCTTCAATTTATTTTTAAAATTTTTTTAAATTTTGCACATGATTAAAATATAGAGATTATTAAATTAGAATTGAACTACTAATAAAAGCATTTTTGTATTTGTCAGAGAGCTTTGTGAAGTCAAAATAATTAATTAATTATGGAAAAATAATAATCCATATTACAAGTGATAAATTTTGTCCTGAAAGTTAATAATTTATTGAATGCTAAAAAAGAAAAATATTTTTATAAAATTATTTTGTTAGTAGAGTTTATTATAAAATACAATTCTTAATAAATAAGCAATATCAATGTACAATCAACCTTTAGAAGAGATGAATAAAATAGTGAAGTGTTAGGCACATTAATGTTTCCTTAAAAAATAGATAAATTATTTGTGCTTCTACATGAAGATAGCTTTTATAGACTTTGAAAGAGTAATGGCAGTCAAATATTTGAAGAATCTGCTAAGATATCCTCTCTGCCTAAAGAATTAGATACAAAAGGTAAACAACTTTATTTTCTTATTTTAAAATAGTATTGTTGCGTAGAATATTTGCAGCGGTAGAGAGAGATAAGATTTAGCTTCCTAGTTTTGTATAAAGATCCATCACATACATGTATAAGAGAGAGAGAGGAGTGCAAGTGTTAAAAGAGACACCAAAATTTTTATATAGAAAATCCTACAAAGGGGAAAATCATGAGGCCTGGCCCAATTAAGATGATTCTATTGGTGTTTGCAGTTGATTACAGATAGCACTTTCTCGGGGAAAGACCTTCGATCAATATAACAAATTTACATCATATAGAGCACATTACATGGTGAGAGTTGGAAGCATCTAGTGATATGTGAGTTGTTCTTAAAAGAATTTTAGCATGTTCATTTACTCAGAAGGATCGTAGTCGGGAAACTGAGGTCAAAAGGGTCGTAGTCAGGCGACTGAGGTAGAGTGGATCATTGTTGGCAGGCGACATTGGTCAAAGGGACCATAGTCAGAAGGCGGCAGTGATCGAAGGGACTGTAGTCGGCAGGTGGCGACCACGATAGTTGAAGGGACTGTAGTCGGTGGGTGAAGATTGTTAGATGGACCGTAGTCGGCAGGAAGTTGAAGAGACCATAGTCGGCCGGCAATGGAGGTAAGAGGGACCATAGTTGGTAAACGGCGATGGCCGAAGGGACCGTAGTCAGTGGGTGGAAGTGGTTGGAGGGACCGTAATAAGTGGGAGATAATGGTTAAAGGGATCATAGTTGGCGGGCGAAGGTGGTCGAACGAAGGCCCGACAACGATGGTCGGGTGGAGGTCCAACAGTTGTGACCCAATGGCAAGGGTATGCTAGCAATGGTGCCAGGGTGAAGTTCTAAAATGTTTCAAGTCTCAGAACTCCCTTAAATTTCTAGACTAGGGTCTAAACCCCCAAAAGATCAAGCCCCTTTCATGTGGGAAGTGGGGGCCTATTTATTGCATCTCCAACCAAACGTCATTCGCTCGTTTGCAGCTCTGGAGATTGTCCACCCGAACATCAAAGGAAAATGTAATTTTGCATTTTATCTCGACTGAGAACAATGTGATGCTAATATTGGCATCTCATAATTCATAAACCCATTTTTTGTGTTAGAAATGGATATAAAAATAAAGTTGAGAAATAATATTCTTTTTTGGTATTAGAAATAAAGTTCGATTGGAGATGAACAACTGTTTGATATGACATATTGCATTTTGAAGTCAAAATAGGTTTTTTGTTGGAAATGCCCTTATAGATTTTTTAGAGTAGATCTATAAATATGGAGAAAATCAATGGCAAATTCAAAGTGCTCTACTGGACCGCCCATATTTGTCTCGTCGAGCTACTTGATTCGGCTATAAGCATGTAATATTTGGATATCATTTGATCATCCAATTAATGCTTCGAAACTTTTAAATATGTTTTCATCCCTTGATTTGGGCCTCAGATTGGACGACTTTTGTTGTCGTTGCGTTTGTCTCACTGGGACATTCAATTTGATTATAAGTTTGTTAAATTTGGAATTTGGATGGTCCTGAATTAAATTTTGAAAGTTGCTAACTCATATGTGTTTCGAGATTTGTGCTTGATCAAGGCAATTTTTAGAGATGTATCAAGTTTCTATGGTGGTCTAGCAAGTAAATGTCTAGAAAATCTTGCAATCTTTTAAAGATAAAGTAAAGCCTCCATAGGAAATTTGGTCATGTTGAATTTTCTTAATATGATGATATCATGTATGGTGTAAAGTATTAAAATAAGATTAAAGTTTTGCTTGAGACAACTTTTTATTACTTTCTAAGTATCTTTTTGGTACAAAAAAATTTCTATGCTAAAAAGTTGCTTTAGAAAGAAGTAAGAAAACTGTCACAAACAAAGCTTAAGTATTATATTGCAAGATAATGTAGATATAAGCATAGAAAATCATTGTAGCATTAAACTATAATATGTAATTGTGTACATGTTCTAACATATCGCTTTGTAGGGACTAAGCATTTAGAAAATTATTTATATGATTAATCATCAAAGATCAATATGATTTTTTTTTATATTACCATTGGGAATTACATATAGAGATAAATTTCTTACCTAATTCTTACAAATTTCTCTATGGTTTCTATCTAAATTATTATCTAACTCATAAAAGTTTGCTACTTACCAACATCTACATAACATTTAATCAAGAGTTAAAAGATATTTGAAAGTTCACTATCTATCATCTCGAAGAGTTATATAAAGAGGTGGTTACATAGTGTTACTTCATCACTCTTTCTTCTCCTTAAATTAGTCGCGCCGGGGTAGAAGTGGACGAGTTGAACAATAGAGTGATTAAAGATTTGTAGCTATCTAGGCTTGTATTGTATAAAGAAATTTGTCTATCGGGTGGTCAACAATGATCACTAAGAAGTCAAAGATAATTGTACTTGATACAT